AAAAAAAAATTATGGACTCAAATAACATTTCTGTTACCGTTTAAAACTCACAGTAAGCACTTACGTTTTCCAGCGCTCAGGAAGAAGCTGCTAATTTAGAAGAACTGCATGGCAGGCTTATCGACCTCAATGTGGTACGTTTCTTGCTAAAGTAATGTTTTGGGCTTCTATCTTTTACATAAGAAAAGAGAGTAAATTATTTCTTTTAAATTCAACAGAAAATGCTATCTTAATTTGAGTTAGTTAAGCTTTTTAAAACATTTTTCCAGGTTTTTGATCATCTGCATGAAAATACAGAATCAACAGAGCTTGAGACTGAATTAAGAGAATTAAAGTTCAAGAACGACAAGTTGGAAGAAACTGCTAACGGATTGTTTGCCGAACGTAAAGAACGGGAAAACGAAGTAGAGGAAATCGAAAACTTAATAGAGTCTCAAAGGGCTGCGAATGAGTCTTTACAAAATAACTTGGTAACCAAATTTTTTCGACTGTCTCAAACAGTTTTTAGTTTCAAGTTTAGTAAAGAGGAAACTGTGACAAATATTAGGTGGAATGCTGAACGCTGCCGAAAGATGGTCTTGCAATTACTATTACATCAAACTTTCAAACATATTACGTTTTAGGATCCAAGAATGAGAGACAAACTTGAACAATTGCGAGCGGATCTAGAACAAGTTAACGAAGAATACCGACTGAAAAGTGAAGAATTGTTGGAAATTACATCAAAAAAGGAAGCCTTAGATGTGGAATTGGCAAATTCACCTTTAAAACGTCAAGCAAGTAAAATTTTTGTCACTATTTTCATTCGGTCATGGCGAACAATTGTTAACGTAATGGTTTTCAAGTGGAACTATCTGAGCAACTTACCGAATTAGAAGCGAAGAAAGCAGCATTGGTTTCTGAAGCTGAAGATCATAGCAGTTTAGAAGAACTTCGTGAGCAACTTTTACAGACCGTGAAGAGGACATCTGGCGAAATTGAAGTTATCGAAAAGCAGTGAGAACTATTATCCCTAAAACTGTAGCCTTTAGAATTGAACTTAAAGAGAGAAGTGTTGCTTCTGCTCAAAACATCTATAAGTGACCTTTTTTTATCCTACAGCAATAAGCTTTACCGGTTTTTACAAGGCAGTGGGCTATGAAGAAATTAAAAAATGTGTTGAAACAGATGAACTGGAGTTAACTCAAAAAACAAATGATTAGCCAAAACAGCTTGACGAAAATGGTAAGGACTTTTTATAGTCGAGCATTTGCTAAAACTTGTTTAGGCTCGAAAATGTGCGGGATAAAATATCGCAGTGCAACGAGGAAATTAGAGAGTTTGATACCCAATTCGAGGATACAGCAGGTCCTTATTTTTTGGGTTTAAAAGAAATTAATGTGTCGTTCCCAATTTTGGGCCATAAAGTGCTCATAATTTTTCAAATACTGAGGTTCCTGTGGTTCTCCTCAATGAACAGAAGCAATTTTAAGGTGAAAAGAGTGCGAAATACCGGGAACTGAAGTTGATGGAGATGCAATATGATGATTTTATTGCCAGTTACGACAGCTCTAAAGCCGAACTAGAGTCATCAATTGCTACAATATCTGAGTCAGTGGTAAAGTATCTGATTATGATATCACTCAATTGCGATCAGGTGGAGAAGCATAATAACGAAACAAAGATGGACATTAATTCGATTGAACAAATGAACGACACTATGAAGTCAGCGCATGAACTTCAACAGTGTAGGACTTTTGATTTACAGGACGTTTCTTTGTGTAAAGAAAATGCGTATGTTATCTATCTGGTAAAATGTGAATTTTTTTTAAAACAGTTGAAATTACGAACACATTATGTATGAATCTTAAGAGTAACTTCATTTCAACTTTCTTATCTGAGTAAGTTATGACTGTGAACTGTTGAGGCTCAATTAATTTGTTAATTGCAGTACATGTTCGTCTTCAAGAAGATATGGGTAACCTAAACGAAAAGGAAATGAACTTGAGGAACGAGATTCAAATGCGTAGACAAAAAATTGAGGAATATCAACAGAAAATGTTAAATTTCAAAGACCTGGAAGGGATGAAAAAAGCCACTGAAGATGAAAGAAATGTGGGAGTTAATATCAATTGGTGCTTGCTTAAGTTTTTAGTCAGTAAAATAACTAAAATTTCAAATTGAGGTATAACTGTGGAGGCAGGAGAATAAATTTCCAATGAAATAAACAGGATGTTTTTAAAAATTCAATGGATATGTTGGTTTTAAAAAATACATAGCTAATTTACAAGGTAGAGCAATAAATAAAGATTGAAGGAATTGGAATATCGACAGAAGGCTTTGGAACAGGAGCTGCGGAAAATGGAAAGGGATTACGCTGAAATAGACTCTGAACTGTCATCAATTAATGAAAAACTTGAAAGTAACGGGAGATATCAACAGGTAAGGTTGATATTTACTATATTTTAGTTTTACACAATTTTTAGAACTGCACGTCTAACCTCATTATTATAAATTTTTTTCGCAACATTTCAACATAATTCTCATTGTATTTGACGTATAAAATTACTGGATTGTCAGTAATAAATTTAATATTTCTAGCTTAAAGAATTGAAGAAAAAGCTGCAGTTGTTTGAACAAAGAAAGGTCACTATGGAAGAGGAACTGAAAAAGCGAAAGTCTCAGTTCGATTACAAAGCAATTAAACAAGAGGTTAAGCGCTTTTTTTTTTCAGCAGAACTGGTTAATCATCTACTAGAGTAAAACAATTTTTAGATGACAGATAATGTTCCACTGTTTTACTTCGGTAATATTTTTAGAAGTTTTTCCGATGATGAGAAATTTTTGGATTTGAATAGTTTCAGAAGCTTTTTGGTGGAAGAACACCTATTGATGTGCACATAACAATACAAAGCTTTCCTGGCAAGTACTTTAGAGACAATTTTTTTGAATGCTTACAGGTGTTAAAACTTCAACAGAAGTATAACGAGCTGTTGTTGGCGTCTCTGAAAGCGTGATGTACAATTATCAATTATGTTGTAACAGAAGAAATGCTGGAATTAAAGTGTTTAAATATTCAGAAACTCTCAAAAGTCTGTTATCGTTTTTCACTAATGACTAGATTTGAGTTTTATTTTGTCTGTACAACTTGTTTTATTTTGACTAGTTATTTATCAAGTATTTATTTTGAATACTGTTGCTGAAAATCAGTTTCGCTCGTTGAAATCACTGGGATAAGTGAAGTTAGAACAAAAAATTATAACTTGTCAATTTCAGTCGGTATTTGACATGTTGTGCCGTACAAAAGTACTGGTGACATAAAATTCAAAGTCATTTAATCGATGTGTTATGAAAAGTTGCACTGCAAGCTTTTGTGAGGTAAAACTAGATTTAAAAGCTGTATAATCTGTATAAGAATTGTTAAATTATTATTATGCACTGAAGAGTTTTGGTAAAATTTTATTCAAATTCAAGAGATTTTTGTGCATTTCTCTGTGGGAAGCCGGATTTCTCTTAACTTCACTGAGGAAATAGAATTTTTTTATTCACTTAGCCAGCTAGCAAATTCAAAACTGGTACTCAGAATATTCACATTTCTGGCTACTGGTTAATCTGCAACAAATTTACCGTGAGATTTTTCAATTTTTTGCTAGATTTGTTGCGTAGCTGTTAAGTGATGCAAAATTAGAAAGTAGATTAAAATGATCTTTTAAAGTCTGTTTAATTTGATTTTGTGATCCAAGTTTGGGAAATTCGATATGAACGATTGCTAAGCTAAAAGTTCTTTATAAGTGATATACGAAAAGAGTATTCATGGTAATGACTTAGTAAAACTTGTACCAACGACGTATCGTTTAATAATAGTTTCAAAAACTCGTTTTTTAGTGACTTTTATGAGTCAACAAAGTTAAAAATACTTGTTAACACTTCAGCAGAGAAAAGGTGTGAAAAAGGTACTCATAATTTCATATTAAAAAAAAATTAAAATTGCGAAAAATTTGATCTGCTTAACTTTTAATTAACAGTCACCTAGTCAAAAATCATTGATTCATAAAAGTTCGTTTACACTTGGTAAAAACGTCGCTTAAAAAATGTTTCGACAAATGAGTGGTATCGGAATGAGTCAGCGAAACTTATAGGAAATTAAGCTAAATCGTTTTCTTCTACGGGTACGATTAATTTATTATTCTTTTTTTTTTTGAGGGAAGGGGGGAGGGGGAAGTTTTTAATCTATTGTAATGTCAAATTGCTGTTTTTCTTAGTATCTGGAAAGCTAATAATTTGGTGCTGTTTAGAATGAATAGAATGTAAAATATTTATATTCAAAACATATGAAATCACCTTAAATTCATTTACTTATTTTCGTTTTTAGAGAAAAAATTATGCGGTTTTGACAGAGCAAAAAATCATTTTTTTGATTTATGACAGATATAGAACTCTGTACGAGAAAATTTATAAAATAATAAGATGAGAAAAATAATTGAGATTTTCTCTTCTAATTTTTTCGTCTTGTGTTTCCTTGGCAGGTAATAACCTATTTAAGCTTTCGATAACCCTGATGATATTAAAAATATTTTGAAATGCTGATCTGTTTAGAGTAATCTTATTAAACTTTTAAGCTTTTACGGTGCAGATTTCTGCTCGAATAGAGTTTTTTTTTTGAAACAACTGCTTTACCAATAAAAAATTTCAAAACTGTCAGAAAGTTTGGTATAACAACAGCTCTAAAATTTGATACGTAAACTAATGATATACATAAACATAGTTATAATACCAATAAATTGGTTCTAATTCTTCATTGGTATTTAACTAAATTTTACTTTGTAACCTGGTGCTAGTTTACTCTCTTATTCGCGTGTTTATTAACTTGGTTTATTTACTAATATTATTGAGTTCTAAAACTTTTTTCATGTATAGAATAAATTGACATTTGCGACAATGTTTAAGAAAAACTGATAAGAATTCATGAAAAAAATTCTTGGTTGCTTCCAATTGCTGACATTTTTGGGGATTAAAACGGGGTTGTTTGGAAACTCAGCGATGTAAAAGACCAAAGAATAGATTTTTTATTTGGCTAAAAGATGTTTGTTGCAGTGAAATGACATTTTAAAAAACTAGAAGCTAGAAAAATATGGTCAATAAACGAAAAACCTTGAACAGTTTTCTATATTCGTCAAGTGGTTGAGATTTCCAAATGCCGACTTTTATCCCACGTAGCATTAGCAGCTTTGAACTCATGGGAAAAATAGTTTACAATATTTGTATGATCAACAAAGATCTTAGAAGGCCCTATTCACAGAGAGCAATTGTTTAAACAGTCATCATCCCTTTAATCTTATAAGCTTTTAGAGCAAAACAATGTGTTGTATTTTCGCACTGTTTGTCAAAACTTTACAAACATAATATTTGTAGTAATATTATGACTAATCTTGGTGGTATCTACTTTTTACGGTTTGAAATTGGTTGTTCAATACTTTATGCCTATAGGTTGCCGGCTGTTAGAAACCATTAACAGGCCGCCATGATAACATGCATGAGTTGAAACAATTCTTCAGTCCCAAGATGAGGTATTATTACCGCCGCAAAACAATTATTTTAGAAAATACAAGAAATCTGTTGAAGTCATAAATGTCACTCTTTGATACTGTGTGTCAAAAAGCTTATAAATTAATTTTCTGCATGATAAAGGGCCATTTACTTGATACCGGTGCTAAAATGCCTCCTCAATTTTTGTTGCTTTTTCAGTATAGTATAAAAGAACTTTTATAGTTTAGTTGGATTTTCAGGATAGCTCTATTTGCTTTTTTTCTTTTTTTTTTCAGACTACTGGAAATTATTTATTCTCAGATGTTGTTTTAAAATTGTCATTTAAATGGTAGTATACTATCGCTGTATGTAAGCTTGCAGTTCAAAAACGTTCAAATGTTCCCGAGTTGATATGATGTTGTTGAAGAGGATGTACGCTTAACCTTGAATTAAAATTCATGACTGCAACTACTTAAAAGCAGTTGTTTAGAAGATATCGGTAACATTTCAGAGCTAATATAGTCGTCTTCTTCATCTTCATCTCCATCGCTGTCGTCACGTCTGTGTATAATTACTACATGTCATTTAAAACGGTCGTCTGTTCATGGTTTTAAATTTGAGACCTTATTTTTGTTGAATCTGACCTTGTGGAAAAAGTATCAAATTGCTCTAAGACTGTAGTTCACTATCAATAAGCACCAAATAACAGTTTTAAAAATTATGTTTTCAATTAAGAGTTCAAATTTACAAATTTTTTTTAAAAGAAACAAAGTGCTAAAGATTCTTATAAGAAGAATAAACAGAAAACCATCATTTACATAAAAAAAGATGGTTTAAATGAAAAAAAAAACGAATAAATATTCAGAACAGTTTCGTTTATTTGAACAAAAGTTGAGCACTTTTTAGAATACTGTTAATGGATATGTTTTTTTACAGAATCTAACAAAAAACTTGAACTGTTTCAAAAGTTTTTGCATTGTTTTGAATAATGACGGTTCAAGGTTATTTGTCCTGAGTAATTTGAGTAAGAGCTGTTTTTTAAAATTTTTTTTGTTATTCTTTTGGCAACTGATTTCGTATGACTTTTTGTTTTTTACTATTTCTTTAATCTGTTTTGTCAAAAGTTCAGATTCAAAAGAATTTCAAACCAAAAACTGCAATTAGTGTCGTTATTTTTTGAAACTTGTTGATTAAACATTTGTAAGCAGAACAACGATACTACCGTGGCAGATGAATAGATGAGCAAAAAAACTGTAATCAGAAATCGTCTAACTGCTCAGTTCAATCATCGTCAGATTACCGCAAAAGAAAAGTTTGAATCATCGACTAAGCATTCAAAGTTTTTGTTAAACAGATTTAATGTCTGAAAATGTTTGCGTATTTCACTGGCCTTTTCCCTTACGTTATTAAAAAAAATTTAAACTGTGATCAAAAAAACTTATTTTGTTTCTTTTTTCTCGCTTACTTTGTTCTTATTTTCTTTTATTTATTTATTTGATGAGTTCATCAGAGTTTGCTTGTCAAGGAAAACACTAAACCACAAAGAAATTAGTCAATTTATTAGTGTTGTTACCTGTTATTTTTTCTATTGTTTTTTGTTGGCGGTGTCGGTGACAGTGATGGTGGTGGTGGTGGTGGTGGTGGTAATGATATTGTTTTTTTTTTATTTCATTTAAGTTCAAAAGAATGTTTATTTAATGGATTTAAAAAAAGTCAAAAATGAACTATTTTGGAATAAAAAAGAACTATTTTGAAAAAAATAAATTGAACTGATCACATGCGACAAAAAATTGATGTATTTTGAAACGGTTTTTTTTTTTCCTACTGTTTTTCATCTTTTTGACCGATAGCTTACTGTAGTTTTTTATTTTTTCAAAATCGTCATCTTTATTAACACTGTTTACCTTAAATTGTGCGACATTTTCAGCTAAAAACGTACAAAAACTCAAGCTTATTTCACCCTAAATTTTTATTTTTCATCGATCAAAGAACAACGAATGTTATTGTGCTGTTTTCAACAATACCTTACTGTAATCTTTACAATTTAAACCAATAAATGATGTTTGAATTAAACAGTGAGTTGCGATTACTTGTCTGAAATTTACTTAGAAAAAAAAAAAAAAAGATGTAAAGAAACTGAAGAAATTAGGCTGTCATTAAACAGTGGTATTCTGCATCTAAAACATAATTCATATGTTCTGTTGTTTGATGTACAATTATCAGCAGTTGATGATAACCAACGACGATAAAGTATGAAGTAGTATTTGAAGAAACTGTTCAATCCTCAACTGATGTCCATTTAACCATTAAACAAAATATTTTCTACTTTTTTTTTTTTTTTTTTTTTTTTTTTT